AAATGTAATTAAACAATAAAAATAAAATTAACTCAAACAGTGATGATAGATAATCCCTGGGGATGGGCTGTCATAGATCCATGTATTTATGTTCAGAATATTTAGATCCCATTCTTTAATCAATGTAACTTACAAATATACCTTAATTCCTGACTTCAGGATAATGCACTAATTCACACACACACAAAATTTTCTGATGGAGAAGGAAAACCAACTAAAGGACTAGTTCTTGATGTTAAGTTTCTGTTTCAAATTAATTTAATACACTAGTTTAGGCAAACCTGAGGAACTGCTGCTGGCTATTTCACAGTTGAGAAACTGTCAAGGGTATGATCTTTTTCCTAAGACATTTAAATATATATATTAGGGAACACATGAAAAGATTGGGCATTTATCTCCTCACACTTGATCAGTTGATCACACTTGATCAGTTGTGGTTTTTTTGTTATTCTTCTAAGAATATCAGATATGGGTGTTGTGAAGCACAGTGTATCAGAGAAAACATGGTCCATATATAGGATTTACTATTTCAATTTTTATTAAAAGGCATAATCTGCAGCTCACAAATGCTTATACCTTTTAATAAAAGTTATTCAAAAAAGATGCTACCAGATTTCTGCTTTTTGCCATCATAGACGAACATAGTTTTTTTACACTGCGACCGTTTTACCTAACTAGACAAAAGAAGAAATGTTAAAAGAAAAGTGTTCATTCATGAAATTGTACAAAAGATTAGTAGGTCTGTCATAGAAAACCATAACTTTTTCTCTAGAAGTCTAGTGGTTAAGGTGCTGCCCTAGAAATCAGAAAACGATGAGTTTTAATCCTGCTTTAGGCATGAAAATTGGCTGGGTGACCTTGGGCTACTCTCTCTCAGTCCAACCAACTTCACAGGGTTGTTGTGGAGAAAATAAAAGGAGTAGGAGTATTTATGCCACCTTAATTTAACTATAAAATAATAAAGGTGGGATAAAAATTGAAAAATAAACATAAATAAAATATTTTATATAATTAGTGTAGCTTCCAGCATAGCACCTATTGGTACTAATAGACTTGACATTTGTAAAGTTCCATATCCTACTTGATGATTTTTATATTAGATTTTTAATAAAACATTAAATTAAAAGCATTCATTTTAATTTGCAAGAATGCCTGGGGGTCCCAGAGAAACAAAAGTGTCCCATCTGTGCAGAAAAAAAGGGCACAAAATGTTGAGATATTAGGTAGTGCTGAACGTATGACTTTATATTACATTCTGGCAATTGAGTGTTTTATGGTAAACCACCTTCTTCCTCAGATCAAAGCCCTCCCTTTTTTTAATGTGTTTTCGTTTTGCAATCACCATCTTGACTTTTTGAGCCCCAACCTAATTGTTAAAGAAACTATTCATTCAGCGGTTTGTTTTTAGCAATTTAACAATTCAAAATTTATTTTAGAAATATAAAGTACCTGGCTATTTCTCCTGCTTCTAACACTTATCTCTATTGAGTTGTTTGATTTCAGCTTAGGAACAAAAGGCTGAGGTTCTGTTCGCGCGACGGACGGGCGGACGGACGGTCCTAGGAGTAGATATTTGCATCAATCCGCTATGAGAAGGCCCCTATGGGTCGTATTAAAAGGTCGAGACCGGACCGCTACCGCCGGTATTGTCTCCATATGGGCGCTAAGCGGCGCTTCATTATCCTCGGCGCAGCAGTGCACACTCGAAATCATTGAGGCGGTTTGAAATTTCAGCGGGCCGGGTAGGAAGCGTAGCCGACGGCATTCGGTCATATTGGAACTTCAAATGAATTACACTGCAGGCGGACGTGGAGAATTCAGATTGGCGATCGAAACATGAACCCGCCTATTTTAAATGTGTGTGCTCTGCGCGTATTTGTTCAAACGAGTTTGGATCAAAAGGCTTCATGTGTGTTTGAAAGAAAGTGTTTGTCCACAAATGTTATATTTTTCACATGTGATGATTCAGCAATTTTTATTTTCCTCCTAAAGAGTGTCAAATTGACACTGAAAACATAGGTATTTGGAGTTATGGGGTTGTAATGCTAAAAGACTTACATTTGGGATGGTTGGTAGAAATATTTTAGTGAAATAGGGCAAAGAAAACAAAACTTATCATTCCCTCATTTGGGTCCAAAATGTGTATATATATATAAGCTATTTTATTCTCTTTTAATATAAACATTGCCTTCTGTGAGGCCCACTTCTTCAAACTTCTGCCTCCTTTTCTCTTGGAAAAGAGTGATGTCATGTTTAGGTATAAAAAAGAAATAACTTCATTCTGACTGTTGTATCTCAATGTTTTTTTGCATACATATCAATTAGCTAGAATACAACATTCTAAGCTGTAAACTATTATTTATAATCAAATTGTGCAGTTCCATGCCCACAAAAACATCCTTTCTGTAGCCTTTGGAATTCCTCTCATCATGATTGCCTCATACTGCAGTAGAGTTCAGTTGCTCAAGAGGAGTTTGCACTCATTTGTGTATGAAGAGAGAAATTTGTCTGATTGGTTTGTGTAAAGGTTTGCAACAGGAATAGTTTGGCAACAGTGTCTGCAGACATTAATGAAGATCTGGATCCAATGGCACAACTCTAGAGTGAAGGAAACATAGGTACAGAAAAGTCAGTGGTGTCATACACGCAGGCTGGATGCATCACTTGCTGGCCATGCCTGGTTTAGCAAAGAGGAAAAAAAGTTGTGATGTCACATGACGATGCTGTAACGACGTGAGTTTAACACCCCTGGAATAGGAGATACCTGCCTCAATAGTAATAACTATGAGAGATCTAAGTATCATGTTGGACCACCACTTAAGTATGAGTCAGTACTGTGCTACAGTTGACAAAAAAGCCAGCCCAATCAACAGAGGGATAACATCAAGAACACAAAAGTGGTAATACCACTTTATACGGCATAATGAGTCCACACTTGGAGCATTATGTACAGTTCTGGTCACTGATACAAGAAAGATGCTGAGATGCTAAAAAGTGTGTAGTGAACAACAACAAAGATAAGGGGTCTAGAGGCTATATTGTATGATGAACGGTTGAGGGAGCTAAGTATGTCTAGCCTATTGAAGAAAAGGATTGGAGGGATGGGACATGATAACTGTCTTTCAGTACTTGAGGAACTGTCACAGAGAAGAGGGGATTGTCTTATTCTCCAAAGCATTAGGGAACAAGACAAGAAGTAATGTGAAAGCTTGTTAATGAGAGATATAAGCTAGACGTATGAAGAAATTTCCTGAGAGTTGGAACAATTAATTTAATAACATGCTGTCATAATTGTGGGTGCTCCATCACTGGTTTTCAAAAATAAACTGAGCAACCATTTGACTGGGATGGTATATGGTCTCCTGCCTTAAGTACAGGGATGGACTAGAAGACCAAGGCTCCTTCCAGTGCTGTGATCCTATGTTCTACTGTCCTCTCTTCTAGCAATCCATCCACTCCTTGTCTAAGAGATTGCTCAGCTGTCACTTTTTCTTCCAAGCAGAAACACATCGAAACTACATGCTGATTCCTCTGGCAAGATGTAATTACGGTAGCTAGCGGTTAGGCTTTACCTATTCCAGTCTCATATTTTCTGTAAATAAATAATCCCTCAGTTCTAGTTACAAAACCTGCTTCACTAATTGTTGTTGAGGTCAGACTACACATTCGGTATTATAAATGTGTATTTATTGCTATCAGCATGAGATCATGCATGCTACATAATTTGCCCCCTCCTCAAGCTCTTCTACAGAGATTCAGGGTGGGTTGACTATGTACTAGGAAGAGAGCTCAGGAAGGGAAAGTAAAAAAGAGCCAGCCTAAAAGTAGAAGAAGACATTGGAGTCTGAAGATAGTTGCACATTCTCAGACTACACTCAATATGTTATCTTTTATACTTTTATAAGCACTAGGATCTACCTGAACCCCTCCCCCCATCACTAATCCAGAACAGGATTAGACTAATTGACAATGCTTGAAATTATCAACCAGGTGTTTTGTAGCAATTTCAGAGAAGGGACCAATGTTTGATTTGCACCATTGGAAAACTATATATTTAATCATAATTAAAGAGTTGCTACTTTCCAGAGCAAAACTGTCCTTTACAAGGTCTGCCTTTGTAAGCTTTGATTAGCATTCCTTGCCAGGATTCCCTCTTCAAACTACAATTCCCAGAATTCTTTTGACAGAGGGAAAGCTATGACAACCATAAACCCATTGAAGTTTGTCAGGCAGACGTCATCTAACTTCCTCTAAGCTCGCTGTCATTTAACAGCACTCCGGCTGATTTTCCCCGCGTGTCTCCGTCTCCTGCGATGTCTACGGTTGATCGTTCGCGCCAAAAAATTTCTTCCTTTGTAATACAGCAACTGTAGCAAAGCCGGCTTCATTTAGTCGCAAGTGTCGCCCGCGTTTCTTGGAAGCGGGCGGAAGGAAGTCTTTACAACTTCACTGCCGTCAAATGAACGCGATGGGTTTAGCTTCTTGCATTGAAATTATCACTCCGCTCCGAATCTCTTGCATTGAAGCCTAGCAGACGGAGCGTGGGAAAATGGGTTTATGACGGTAAAGCTCTCATTTGCCGAAAGGACCAGTCGTTTAAAAAGATTAAAACTTTTTAACCTTGTATTGACGATACAGTTATACCTAGTTACTCTTTAAGCATCCAAACCACCTTTGCATTAACATATATACGAATGTTTCTTTTCAATCTTTCAGATCTTGCTTACTGGCTTGGCTTGTCAAGCAAGCTGCAGATTGGACTGCCATTTGTCAGAAATGGTGTAGGGTCTCCTGCTTCGGGGGGGGGGGTTGGACTAGATGACCTATAAGGTCCCTTCCATCTCTGTTAATCTGTTAAATTCCCACCTCGTCTGAAATAGTTGTGTGTGTGTGTGCGTGCGTGTATCTCTCTCGCTCTCCGTTTATTAACTGGCTTTCTCCTCGCAACCACTTTGTTTCTTCTCTTCGCTTTTTGCCCCGCCTTCCTCATAAGGAAAGCTAAAGTTAACCCTTTATTTGCACAACTCTGAAGCCGCCCTCTCCTCCGGCATCCCGGGCCACTCGCTCTGTGGCACCGGTCGGACTAAGGAGGTTTCTTCGAAAAGCCAGTCAGCCAGCGCCAGTGCATCCATCCGTTCGCCGTTCTTTGTCCGGGATTCGCCGGCTTCGCTCGAGCAGCCCGAGCCGAACCGGTTGAAGAGCAGCGGAGCGGGAAACGGCGCTGCACCACCAAGCGACAGGAAGAAGCGGAGGGCGGTACGGCCGTGGAGTCGCCTCCCCTTACTCCCCGCGCCTGCCTTGCAAGCCCAGCGTAGAGACTCCTCGTAGCAGCCGCCTATTCGCCGTCCACCGAGCAGGAGGAAGACTCGCTCTTTCCAAGCTGCAGAAGGCGAGAAACTGCCCAGGCGGCGCCGCCGGTGCCGAAAGCAGCAGCGAAAGAGGAAGCGAGACAAAAGAGGGCGAGAGCGAGGAGGTGAGTGGCAGGCGGAGAGCGGGCTGGAAGCTTAGCTTTCTCTGCGGCTCGGGCTTCACTGCTCCCGGGGGGTGGGCGGCGGTGAGGCCAGGTAAACGCGTTCTTCTCTCCCCGACATCCCGTGCTCGAGCCTCCCGCCTCAGCTTTTGCAGCCGTAAGAAGCCACCGATGGACGGGCGCACTCGCGGTCCTTCCAGCTAAAGGCGATCGGGGACAGCGCCGGGTGGTTAACGAAGGGGGTGGCGGCGGCGTGGTTTTAAGGCTCGGCACGTGAAAACAGAAAGTGCTGTTCGGAGGAGGAGGAAGAAAACCAGCCCTGGCTGATCGCCTCATGATAAAGTGCGGAGGCCTTCCTGCATGTCTGTATGTAACTGCACCAGTGTTCTAGGATCCACGGTGGGGGCGATTTATGTTTTCCCGTGTGTTTCAATTAATTTAATAAATGCGAGGTGGGTTTTTTTCTTTTTGCCCGTGGCGCTGCTCTCCTTTTCAAAGGAAAGGAGCGGCGCTGAATGAGAAATACGGTAGCCTGGCGTGAGGTCGCGAAAAAGCATCGAACCAACCACAGCAGAGAAAACGCTAGAAATAATACTAATAAAAAAGGGTTTGGTTGATGGGGGTGGGGTGGTGGGGATGCACTACTGCTCAACCGGCCAGCCATAGGGATGGAAGCAAGAGGAGGGGGGTGGGGTGTCTCGCAGTGGCAAAGAAGAGGAAATATTCCCCTCTCTGTCATTTTTGCAGAAAGCAAAGCCTCACGAATAGGTGGTTAAAAATGTGAATCTTTGGACGTTTAGCTAAGGATGAACAGTGGCCTGGGTGGTTTTCTAACGATGACTTCAAGGACTCAGAGCTTTTCTCGTGGCTCTCCTACACAGATAGTGTTATATCATCGGTACAGGAACTACATTAATATTTTGACATTTTCTTAAAAAAGAATATTAAGAAAAAAGATTTAAAGCAAGTGAGAGCACAGGACATATAATTCTTCCATATATATGTGTGTGTGTGTGTGTGTGTGTATGTATGTGAATGTATGTGTATGTATGTATGTATGTATGTATATATGTATATATGTATATATGTATATATATATGTATGTATACATACATACATACATACATACATACATACATACATACATACATACATATATATATATATATATATAGTGTGTAATGGCATTGATGCCCTTAATAAGAATTTCAGTCTGGTAAATTGGAAGAAAGTGAGAATCTTTGGATACTGTGATATTTATATTTGGTGGGAAGGTACATCCACCCTTCTTGATACTTTTAGGAGGATATTTTAAAATGTGTTTCTTCTGCCCGAGTGTAATAGCAGAGAGGAAAAGCGAGCTAGATGGTGCTTTTAACAGGTTGTTCAGCACTACAGTAGTAATTTTTGGCCTCAAGGACCAATGGTAGCTTTACTTTTTTTTCTGTTATAAGAGAGGGTGCGGTACCTGCTCTGTAATGCCGCACTGCTAGCAGCAGATAGCAACCAGGGCTTCTATGCATGTACGGAATAATATTTCTTCCCTCTTTCAGAGTATTATCAGAAGAACAGAGGAATGTGGCTTTGGGCATAATACTTTAAATCTCCTAAGAATTTTTTTTACAAATCTCTGAATAAAATTCAATGTTGAATTAGGCCGTAATGTGCAATATGGTTTTTTAATGTTCAAATATAATTGTTTTTCTGGTCAAGTTTTATCCTCTTCAGCCATCCTTATTTGTAATAGTCTAGTACTTAAGTACCTTTATCAGTGTTAAAATTTATTAAAACTAATAAACTTTAGTTTTACAATATGCTGCCTTTCTATGATAGGTTTTGCCTAATACTGTTGATTTCATTGTGATATAGTTGATTTTAATTTGACAGTGGCCCCTTTGCTAGAAGGTTTTGAGATTTGAAATCAGTGTTCTCATTTAAAAATAAGCATATTTATGTCATGATAGAGCGACTCTGCTGCAAGTCCACCCTTGGCCATTGAAGCATGCTGAGTGACTGTGGGCTACTTTCTCTTTCTCAGTTCAACCTACTTTCCAAGGGTGGTTGTATGGAAAAATTGGAAGAATTGCCTTGAGTTTCTGAAGTAAACTGGATTATAAATCCAATAAATAAATAAATTTATTTGTATTAGAGATATTTAAATAAGATGCACTCATTGCTCTAGTTAAAGCGAATAGCAGCTGTGGTATTTTAAACTCAAAATTATTTTCTAAACGGGGAACGCATATTTTAATGAAGGGTTTTTTTAATTATGGAAAAATGTGGATGATTGATTTCAGGATTCATTGAGTATTGATTATATATTGATTAAATAGTTATGAGCACTTAGTTAGGAATAAATGTTGACTATATCACAGCATGGTGCATGCTTATTTTTCTGCCCATTATATTGATTCGGATATTTTGTTCCCAAGTGTTTGCTTAGAAATTGAATGAGAAATATATTGCATTTATATATGAAATATGCATACTGTATACAGTCAGGCAAGAAAAATGATTCTTTGATATGGAACCAAGATTTTGAGTGGATTACTCTAGTTTTATGTTGGAATAAAACATAATGGAAGAAGGCAGTGCCATTTTCATACTGCTCCCTTCACCCCAAAACATGAATATTTCTGTAAAATAACCATGAGTTGAGCTTGTGACTTTACTGTTTTTATATGGTAACAGGACTTAATCTTTCTGTAATAATAATAAATGATGATTCTTCAAATTAATATTTTTCCAGGAGGGATAGAATGCTAGAGAATGCTAAATAAATTCTTAATATGGCCTAAGTCCTGAGGAAGAACATTGGAGATATAAAAGTCTTCTCTGTTAATTGCACTCCAACAAAGTTGCCTTTAAATGTTAATAATGCATTATACATTTGTTGATAAATGGAGGTAGGGACATCCTCAGCTTTTTCTGTTGATTCATTTTTCATTGTGCCCTCGTTTTACCTTTTGGCCCTATGTCAGGCATAAAATTCCTTGAGGTATCTATTGATGGCAATGTAAAAGTAACTCATGCTATTTTTCAGGGATGCCCTGTTCTGGTTTATCTCTAAGCCGAGCACAAGATCCCACATGAACATTTATTCCCAGCTTAGTAGCTTTGTTAGCATAATCCTCCGGGTAGCTCAGCTAGTATATTAGAAATGCAAACATTAACCTTAAACTTAATCTTGGTTTAATTTCAACTCAAAGGACATGATGTACTACCCCTACGCTTTCACTTTTGAGCCCTCTCACCTTTATTCTGATCTGTTCCATTGAAACTATCCATTTCAATAATATTTAATCTCTAACTGAACTGCCTACGTCTAGTATTACCACCATAAAGTTTTTACTTATGCTAGCTACTACACAATAAAGGTCATTTCTGTTTTTACTTCCTCTCTTCTAGCAGATTTTTTATTTTAACTGACTTTGGACCATTGTTTCTCTGCAAAGTATCATAATGGTACTATATATTAATAACCAAACTAGACTTTCATCACAGATTTGATTTACTAATATAGTTCTCATCTATGAAACAGCGATTTATATGTTAATGGCCATTTCTTTATAAATGCCTCTACAAATGTTTGGTTTTTTTACTTTTTTGTAATTGTAAACTAAGACATTTTTGCTAGCTTCAGTTTAATTTCCATGATTTACTAGGTTTGAACATTATTAATAGGGTTGATATTTTTCAGAACTTGCAGTATTTCTTCTACTTTTTTCCCCCTTTAGTCTATGTCTTCCTTTTAAAAAAACTTACATCGCCACTTCCTCTTTGCTAGAACTTACAAAGTTGAAGTGTTATAAATCTCAAGTTATGAAATACTTGCATTTGAATTGTTCGATTAATAGTCAGTTTAATAGAAATATTTTATTCTTTAAAAACATTTCAATAAATCATTACAAGACTGGGTTCATACAATATACACACCTGTTTAAGCATATTAATTTCTTAGTTTTAAAGTGGTGTGCATATGCATATACAGATACACATACACCCATAGATACACGCAAAACATTTTTATGTTTTAAAAATATCATTACAAATCTTTCAGTTTTATTCAGAAGTAAATTTGCCATGTGTAGTTGTTCTTTACAAGGACTACAAGCAGAATAAGGATCAGAATTACTCAAATGCCCCCCCCCCCAAACTATTTTCTCTTGCCAGGTATGAAATCAAAATTACTGTGTGGATCTTAAAGAACAATTGTTGATTCCTATATTATATTTTCCACATGTACTACTGTAACTAATGAAAAAATCCTGGGATTTCCAGATTTTCATTTTCAGTCTGAAACCCTGTAACCCTAAAGTGCAAAAGGATTTATCAAACCTGTGGCTGGATATGAAATTCTGAAAAGGTAGTTCATAGACTGCTTCATTAGGACATACGTAAGCAAAGAGAGTGTCTTCTCATGACAGAAGAGCAGCAAAAGAGAATTATCAGCATTTTGTCGTGATATTTTTACCTGGTAACAGGAGAAGAATAGCTGTTTGACCTCAGTAGACAGAGAAAAGTGGACTCAGCAATCAATAGAAAAACAGGAAGTAGATTCAAAATTATTTGTGTGTGTGTATGTGTGTGTCTGCAAATTGTTATGCCTTTTAGCTGCTAGTTTTATAGCTAAATTATTTGATAACGGCTGTGAACACAGTGTATGTGTTACAGCTATTTAACATTTTTAAAAATAAATGCCCTATTAAGTCTAGAAATTCTGTAATTGAAAATGGATTGTGCAGGTCAGTCAATTAATCTCTGTCTTGTACATGAAAGTCTGGTTGTGATAGAGATTACCAATTACTGTATTCTTTGCATCATTTTTAAAGATGTGAGTTTTGCACCGTCCTCCTTTTCATTATTTCCTTCTTGATTTGTTATTAAAATGCATTCCCAATCATTTGGAAACTAGATCAGTAATATGACATCTTCATTTATTTATATTAGAATTTTAAACAAGATCTGTAATAACATTTCAAGTAATTATGGCCTGCTTTTTA